GTAGAGTATAGTAGTACTGTGATATGCTCAGTAGTAGAGTATAGTAGTACTGTGATATGCTCAGTAGTAGAGTATAGTGGTACTGTGATATGCTCAGTAGTAGAGTAAAGTAGTACTGTGATATGCTCAGTAGTAGAGTATAGTAGTACTGTGATATGCTCAGTAGTAGAGTATAGTAGTACTGTGATATGCTCAGTGGTAGAGTATAGTAGTACTGTGATATGCTCAGTAGTAGAGTATAGTAGTACTGTGATATGCTCAGTAGTAGAGTATAGTAGTACTGTGATATGCTCAGTAGTAGAGTATAGTAGTACTGTGATATGCTCAGTAGTAGAGTATAGTAGTACTGTGATATGCTCAGTGGTAGAGTATAGTAGTACTGTGATATGCTCAGTAGTAGAGTATAGTAGTACTGTGATATGCTCAGTAGTAGAGTATAGTAGTACTGTGATATGCTCAGTAGTAGAGTATAGTAGTACTGTGATATGCTCAGTAGTAGAGTATAGTAGTACTGTGATATGCTCAGTAGTAGAGTATAGTAGTACTGTGATATGCTCAGTAGTAGAGTATAGTGGTACTGTGATATGCTCAGTAGTAGAGTAAAGTAGTACTGTGATATGCTCAGTAGTAGAGTATAGTAGTACTGTGATATGCTCAGTGGTAGAGTATAGTAGTACTGTGATATGCTCAGTAGTAGAGTATAGTAGTACTGTGATATGCTCAGTGGTAGAGTATAGTAGTACTGTGATATGCTCAGTGGTAGAGTATAGTGGTACTGTGATATGCTCAGTAGTAGAGTAAAGTAGTACTGTGATATGCTCAGTAGTAGAGTATAGTAGTACTGTGATATGCTCAGTAGTAGAGTATAGTAGTACTGTGATATGCTCAGTAGTAGAGTATAGTAGTACTGTGATATGCTCAGTGGTAGAGTATAGTAGTACTGTGATATGCTTAGTGGTAGAGTATAGTAGTACTGTGATATGCTCAGTAGTAGAGTATAGTAGTACTGTGATATGCTCAGTAGTAGAGTATAGTAGTACTGTGATATGCTCAGTAGTAGAGTATAGTAGTACTGTGATATGCTCAGTGGTAGAGTATAGTAGTACTGTGATATGCTCAGTAGTAGAGTATAGTAGTACTGTGATATGCTCAGTAGTAGAGTATAGTAGTACTGTGATATGCTCAGTAGTAGAGTACAGTTGTACTGTGATATGCTCAGTGGTAGAGTATAGTAGTACTGTGATATGCTCAGTAGTAGAGTATAGTAGTACTGTGATATGCTCAGTAGTAGAGTATAGTAGTACTGTGATATGCTCAGTGGTAGAGTATAGTAGTACTGTGATATGCTCAGTAGTAGAGTATAGTAGTACTGTGATATGCTCAGTAGTAGAGTATAGTAGTACTGTGATATGCTCAGTAGTAGAGTATAGTAGTACTGTGATATGATCAGTGGTAGAGTATAGTAGTACTGTGATATGCTCAGTAGTAGAGTATAGTAGTACTGTGATATGCTCAGTAGTAGAGTATAGTAGTACTGTGATATGCTCAGTGGTAGAGTAAAGTAGTACTGTGATATGCTCAGTGGTAGAGTATAGTAGTACTGTGATATGCTCAGTAGTAGAGTATAGTAGTACTGTGATATGCTCAGTAGTAGAGTATAGTAGTACTGTGATATGCTCAGTAGTAGAGTATAGTGGTACTGTGATATGCTCAGTAGTAGAGTAAAGTAGTACTGTGATATGCTCAGTAGTAGAGTATAGTAGTACTGTGATATGCTCAGTAGTAGAGTATAGTAGTACTGTGATATGCTCAGTAGTAGAGTATAGTAGTACTGTGATATGCTCAGTGGTAGAGTATAGTAGTACTGTGATATGCTTAGTGGTAGAGTATAGTAGTACTGTGATATGCTCAGTAGTAGAGTATAGTAGTACTGTGATATGCTCAGTAGTAGAGTATAGTAGTACTGTGATATGCTCAGTAGTAGAGTATAGTAGTACTGTGATATGCTCAGTGGTAGAGTATAGTAGTACTGTGATATGCTCAGTAGTAGAGTATAGTAGTACTGTGATATGCTCAGTAGTAGAGTATAGTAGTACTGTGATATGCTCAGTAGTAGAGTACAGTTGTACTGTGATATGCTCAGTGGTAGAGTATAGTAGTACTGTGATATGCTCAGTAGTAGAGTATAGTAGTACTGTGATATGCTCAGTAGTAGAGTATAGTAGTACTGTGATATGCTCAGTGGTAGAGTATAGTAGTACTGTGATATGCTCAGTAGTAGAGTATAGTAGTACTGTGATATGCTCAGTAGTAGAGTATAGTAGTACTGTGATATGCTCAGTAGTAGAGTATAGTAGTACTGTGATATGATCAGTGGTAGAGTATAGTAGTACTGTGATATGCTCAGTAGTAGAGTATAGTAGTACTGTGATATGCTCAGTGGTAGAGTATAGTAGTACTGTGATATGCTCAGTAGTAGAGTATAGTAGTACTGTGATATGCTCAGTGGTAGAGTATAGCAGTACTGTGATATGCTCAGTAGTAGAGTACAGTAGTACTGTGATATGCTCAGTGGTAGAGTATAGCAGTACTGTGATATGCTCAGTAGTAGAGTACAGTAGTACTGTGATATGCTCAGTAGTAGAGTATAGTAGTACTGTGATATGCTCAGTGGTAGAGTATAGTAGTACTGTGATATGCTCAGTAGTAGAGTATAGTAGTACTGTGATATGCTCAGTGGTAGAGTATAGTAGTACTGTGATATGCTCAGTGGTAGAGTATAGTAGTACTGTGATATGCTCAGTAGTAGAGTATAGTAGTACTGTGATATGCTCAGTGGTAGAGTATAGTAGTACTGTGATATGCTCAGTGGTAGAGTATAGTAGTACTGTGATATGCTCAGTGGTAGAGTATAGTAGTACTGTGATATGCTCAGTGGTAGAGTATAGTAGTACTGTGATATGCTCAGTAGTAGAGTATAGTAGTACTGTGATATGCTCAGTAGTAGAGTATAGTAGTACTGTGATATGCTCAGTAGTAGAGTATAGTAGTACTGTGATATGCTCAGTAGTAGAGTATAGTGGTACTGTGATATGCTCAGTAGTAGAGTATAGTAGTACTGTGATATGCTCAGTAGTAGAGTATAGTAGTACTGTGATATGCTCAGTAGTAGAGTATAGTAGTACTGTGATATGCTCAGTAGTAGAGTATAGTAGTACTGTGATATGCTCAGTAGTAGAGTATAGTAGTACTGTGATATGCTCAGTAGTAGAGTATAGTAGTACTGTGATATGCTCAGTAGTAGAGTATAGTAGTACTGTGATATGCTCAGTGGTAGAGTATAGTAGTACTGTGATATGCTCAGTGGTAGAGTATAGTAGTACTGTGATATGCTCAGTAGTAGAGTATAGTAGTACTGTGATATGCTCAGTGGTAGAGTATAGTAGTACTGTGATATGCTCAGTGGTAGAGTATAGTAGTACTGTGATATGCTCAGTAGTAGAGTATAGTAGTACTGTGATATGCTCAGTAGTAGAGTATAGTAGTACTGTGATATGCTCAGTGGTAGAGTATAGTAGTACTGTGATATGCTCAGTGGTAGAGTATAGTAGTACTGTGATATGCTCAGTAGTAGAGTATAGTAGTACTGTGATATGCTCAGTAGTAGAGTATAGTAGTACTGTGATATGCTCAGTGGTAGAGTATAGTAGTACTGTGATATGCTCAGTAGTAGAGTATAGTAGTACTGTGATATGCTCAGTGGTAGAGTATAGTAGTACTGTGATATGCTCAGTGGTAGAGTATAGTAGTACTGTGATATGCTCAGTAGTAGAGTATAGTAGTACTGTGATATGCTCAGTGGTAGAGTATAGTAGTACTGTGATATGCTCAGTGGTAGAGTATAGTAGTACTGTGATATGCTCAGTAGTAGAGTATAGTAGTACTGTGATATGCTCAGTAGTAGAGTATAGTAGTACTGTGATATGCTCAGTGGTAGAGTATAGTAGTACTGTGATATGCTCAGTGGTAGAGTATAGTAGTACTGTGATATGCTCAGTAGTAGAGTATAGTAGTACTGTGATATGCTCAGTAGTAGAGTATAGTAGTACTGTGATATGCTCAGTGGTAGAGTATAGTAGTACTGTGATATGCTCAGTAGTAGAGTATAGTAGTACTGTGATATGCTCAGTGGTAGAGTATAGTAGTACTGTGATATGCTCAGTAGTAGAGTATAGTAGTACTGTGATATGCTCAGTAGTAGAGTATAGTAGTACTGTGATATGCTCAGTAGTAGAGTATAGTAGTACTGTGATATGCTCAGTGGTAGAGTATAGTAGTACTGTGATATGCTCAGTGGTAGAGTATAGTAGTACTGTGATATGCTCAGTAGTAGAGTATAGTAGTACTGTGATATGCTCAGTAGTAGAGTATAGTAGTACTGTGATATGCTCAGTAGTAGAGTATAGTAGTACTGTGATATGCTCAGTAGTAGAGTATAGTAGTACTGTGATATGCTCAGTAGTAGAGTATAGTAGTACTGTGATATGCTCAGTAGTAGAGTATAGTAGTACTGTGATATGCTCAGTAGTAGAGTATAGTAGTACTGTGATATGCTCAGTAGTAGAGTATAGTAGTACTGTGATATGCTCAGTAGTAGAGTATAGTAGTACTGTGATATGCTCAGTAGTAGAGTATAGTAGTACTGTGATATGCTCAGTAGTAGAGTATAGTAGTACTGTGATATGCTCAGTAGTAGAGTATAGTAGTACTGTGATATGCTCAGTTATAGAGTATAGTAGTATAGTACTACACGGTACTCGGTGAACATAACACTGCGTTGGCCCAACCCATGTCTGTGTGCATGCCGATACCAGCAACGTCGGCTGAGCAGCCATGGCCCCGCCACCACTCTCCCCACTGTTTTCGACAGCATAGTGGATTTGGTTTAAAAAACAAGTCATAATCTTTGACTGTAGTACACTATTGGAAGGCAGACACAATGAGCTCCGAGCCTCCAAAGGTGGCGATTCCTTGACATAGGTGGTCAAAACGTATGCAATCAATAAGAATCAGTGTTGCATATCTGCATGTACATATTGTACATATTGTAGATTTCATGCCCGAGGCAATACAGGAAAGCAGTGCCACAACGAGAAAACTGGGAACGAGCTTGGGCAGACACATGTACATGTACATAGCGAACGGGATAGGCTGAAGCAGGGTGAGGGGGGGGGGGGGGAGGAGGAGGTGGCAGATCTAGAGAAGAGGCAGAAAAAGATAGTAGTGCAAATCATGTATCTAAGAGTATGTTAGCGTTGATAGTAACTTGCTACCATGCTTGGGTGAGCTATTGCAGCAGCTGTGGGTCTGGCAGGTGAAAACGACACTATGCAACGTGCACTGGACACAGCAGTCACGGTAAACGGCAAAATGGCGGACGTAGGGGAGCGATACGGCTGCAGAACAAGTGCGAAACTATGCTGGACTCAGAACTAGAAAAGTGAGAAGCAGTGACAGTGTGATCCAGCAGCGTGCAAGAAAGTCGAGCAAGTCTATTCATATAAATTCAATTGAAAAGGAAGAGCAAGTAGCTGAGCATCAGCAAGGCATCAGTGGCTGTGTAGGGGAGGGATATCGGTGGGGGGGGGGATAACGGTGGGGGTGGGGGGGGGGGAGACCTGAGAATGCACAAATACATGTAAATGTACAATGGACACTGGGCAGGGCGGGGAGGGGAGAGGAAAGGGGTGGGGGGGGGGGGCAGAGTACGCACCCTACTCTGGACACTGGGCAGGGCCCGGGCGAGGAGAGGTGGGGGGGGGGGGGGGGAAGGTGGGGGGAGCAGACATGTATTGTTTTGTGCAATACAGCAGGGTGCATTCAAAATGCCATGTGGAAATGGGAAACACGCAGCAAGCATATTCCCTGCCTTGAGATCGGAATGACCTACATATACTAATAGTATCAAGAACAAGAAATATAGCCAATTTTGAAGTAAACAAGAAATAGAGCTAAAGAAGAAATAGAGCTAAACAACAAATGGAGTTAAACAAGAAATAAAGCTAAACAAGAAATGGAGTTAAACAAGAAATATAGCTAAACAAAGCGACAGTAGTTTTAAAAAGAACAATCCAGAACTAAAGCTGTAATCAGCATACTAATCTGCATAGAAGGATACCTTGGAAAATGAATTGGAGAATGAATTGGAGAATGAATTGGAGAATCAATATACGTAATAGGAGGGCAGAAAACAAAGAAGAAAAGGCGGAATGGAACCAAGTACAGCATTATCACATGGCATGTTTGGCGGAACTAAACCTGCGGCCACTGGTGATCCGAGGTGCTATGTACAACAACCCTACGCACGCCTTTCTGACGTCCATCTGAGACACACACAGCGTAAGTGGTGGTATCAGCAAGTCGAGTCAGTCGGATGACTTGGCAGAGCTACTACAGAACAAACAGAGAAGGTAGAAATATGCACAAGACAGTTACAACATTTTGAAAACAGTCCAGTGCGGATATTCGTCACAGCAGTGAAGTTTGAGTGTGAACTGTGTGTGTGTGTGTGTGTGTGTGTGTGTGTGTGTGTGTGTGTGTGTGTGTGTGCGTGTCAGCGTGTGTGTGTGTGTGTGTGTGTGTGTGTGTGTGTGTGTGTGTGAGTGTGTGTGTGTGGTTGTGCACGTGTGCGTGTGCGTGTGTGTGTGCACGTGTGCGTGTGTGTGTAGTGCAGCCAGGGACCGAATGAGTGAGCACTCACCCGAACAACGCCTTGATTTTGGAAAGACGCAACGGACAGACGGCGCGCGTGAGCTTGATCAGATCACTCGTGCATGGTGGGGCAGTCCGCTTACTCATCCAGTAGTGAAGAATAGCCTTAGCATCACGGTAATCAGGTGCATCTTGACGGCGGCGGAATGAGTCGATGATCAGTTTCTCAGAGTTCTCACTGCTTCCAGTTACTTCCTCCACAATCGAACACGCCAGATCATCTAGAGATTAACAGAGGGAGGGGGAGGGGGAGGGAGGTGGAATCCATCATAAACAAGGCAACATATTACAACATCATGCCTACAGCATCACAACACCTTGGACGCATTGTGACAACACCATGGCAGAAGCCATGGCAACAGCATCACACCGCCATGGCAACAGCATCACACCGCCATGGCAACAGCATCACACCGCCATGGCAACAGCATCACACCACCATGGCAACAGCATCACACCACCATGGCAGCAGAATCAAAACAGAGTTGCATGTATGTTTTGGAAGAAGGATCCACTAGGTGATTTCGAACTCAGCACCCGCATGTTTCCGGGACAATGCCCCACTGATTAGGTTACCAGGGATCACACACAATAGGGGCTCCTTCTTCCTACACTAGCAGCTAGAGTACAATGGTAACACTATGACAAAACCATAATTGGTTACGGCTTGGAATCACCATGGCAGCACATTGCCCAGCTCTCCTAGCGGGACCATTAAACAGAAAGCAAACTTCCGTGTCGAAAGTAGCAGGGGCCAGCTGGTTGAAAACCAAATATACCATCCGAACAACCTATGCCCACCCACCTCGTTCTTCCTTGCTGAAGATCTCATTCAGCTGGCTGCAGAAGCTGACCTGATCATCGATGTCCTCCAGCATTCTCCTGTAGGCGATAATACATCAACAGGGAATTTAGAAGCAGACTGTGGCTTACTGCACCGCACACTGACAGCATTCAACATCTAGCCAGTGGGAAAGTGCTGCATACTAGACTCAGATCCTAGCAGCTGGCATAACGCACAGACTCCATTGCGGGATTAGATTCGCTGCTATTCAACGCTATATGTAAATTAAGCAAAGTAGATCTACCCAGTGAGAGTATGAACAGAGACCAGGCTGCGACTCGGACTTCCAGTCTTTCATTGTGTGCACAGCACATGTACTACAGTGAAACCTGTAACTAAAGACCACCTTGACCAGCGACCAACCTGGTACTACTGACCACTTCGTCAGACACGGACGGTCTCACATTCATATTATGGTTGTGGGGTGCAAACCTCTAACTAAAGACCACCTGCCACTAAAGACCGCTTTCTCTGGCCCCAAGGGGTGGTCGTTAGTCAAAGGTTCTACTGTATACTGTAGTATTGTGCGATGATAGGAGACTCACACGCAGTAAGGAAGTTAAGTCAAGACTTGCATGTGTGGAGTATATACACTTCACACACCCATGGAAGCGTGGTGTGACAACCCGCATGAAGTAAACCCACCGACTTGTCACATTGCAATGCAGTGGTGCGGTGTCATTACAAATCACCCAGGAAAAGGATCTTGAAGGACATTCGTTCGTACGTTTGTTACCGTCAACAATGTTTTACTCGTATTGTCGAAAATTGTGTTCGTGTCAGCCCTCTTAAACTATGCAGTATGGACTTATTAACAACCCAACACGGGCCAAAAAATCCGGCATGGGCCACAAAACTTCAAAGCAGGTCAGATGCTATGGTCATGATTAGACCTGCCAGTATGATTTGATGAGAAAGGTGCAGAGGGGGGAGGGGGGGGGGGGGGGGTAAATCAAACTCACCCGGACTCTGTCACTGAGACTACTGGGATGAACTGAAGCGTAGACACCTGCGGACTTGATTCTCCATCAGCGATCACACCTTTGGAACAACAAACAAATTTCCACAACAGGCAAAAAATATCGGCATGAAGCCTGGCATGGCTGGCTACAGGGAAAGCACCTGAACTCCACCAAACATCAGCAACTCGGCCTGCAGATGACAGCCATCATACCATAGCCCTAGTGGCCCTCAGTTCCATTGCAACGACTGCCTAACAACTGCAGCCAGCTGCTGATGCCAGCAGATGAGTGTTGTCAACACCCGCATTGTTCCATGGCAGCCCATCTGATTCCTGCTGATAGCCTATAATATGTATAGTGGTTGCACAGCTGTTTAGCATGAATTCCGGCATTATGCGAGGCCTTTTCACTGCCAGCATGCTTGCAGCTTCAATTGAAATAAACGCATAATATACCAAATATGGGAATGTAGTGCAACTGTACTCTTCAATTCCCATGTGTTCCGCTCAAAAGACAGGGAGCAACAAAATTGTGAATGTCTATATAAGGAAACTTGGAATCGTCTTGTCTTATGTGATGATCATTGCAAAAAAGGATCATTATTCTAATGGGCTCATAATACTTACTGTATGTGGCAGCAGTGCTGTCAGTGTCAGGCGACACTAGCACTTGCAGCTTGGTTCGCACTTCCACAAAGTTGTAGCCAAGGTCGGCAAGGACCCCGAGGAACAGCTTGAATGTCCTACGTCCACCACCAGAAGCAGCCCATAGCAATTGCTCATTGTGATCAGCTCGAAGATTGGTATCCATCAGCCTTTTGTAGAGAGCCTCTGTGATCAGCCCCTTTGAAATCGCTGCCAGTCGAGTCGACTGTGGTTCCAGTGTTTCCACGAACCACTGATGCCATCTCTTGTAGCGATCATCACACCAAGGATTGACTAACAAGCAGAGAAAAGCCACATTGAAGAAAGAACGAAATTGTTTGCAATGCCCGATTTTGCAAATGAAACATAGACATGGGGGAATGTTTCACTGAAAATGCCACAAGAATCGCAACAACAGTGAAAGCAAACTGAGCTCAAAATGCACACCGTCATGCACTCAAATGTGATCACGTATCACGTATCACCTATCTCTCTCTCTCTCCCTCCCCCTTCCCTACCTCTCTCTCTCTCTCTCTCTCTCTCTCCTCTCTCTCTCTCTCTCTCTCTCTCTCTCTCTCTCTCTCTCTCTCTCTCTCTCTCTCTCTCTCTCTCTCTCTCTCTCTCTCTCTCTCTCTCTCTCTCTCTCTCTCTCTCTCTCTCTCTCTCTCTCTCTCTCTCTCTCTCTCTCTCAAACACACATACATGCGTTCAGCCAACTCTGCTGTCATGAGGCGAATTCGGGATGAGTACGAGAATAACAACAGTAATTATAATAGTCTTGTGAGCCAGGTCTATAAGTATGTGTCTCCCCTATCTCATGTCCAAGTATTTTGTTTCACTCACCACCATCATCCATTCCGGCAGTGCCTTCATCAACTAAGCGACACAAGTCAGCAACATCGCACGTCGGGTAGAACGGCTGAAAAATAAGATCAACAACACACAAAGGAATAATAAAACAATGTGGAGGGGTTTGACAACTGCAAACCGCTCTATTCAGTTGCTATTCACCCCACCGAAGTCCACACACATATGTTAGACAACTATAGGCTCTAAAAATCACCCAAACAATTCATTACAATTTGTAAACATGATCTGCATGTATTCTAAGGTGAAAGACCATGTATTCGTGTGAATTTATGTATGTATGTATATACAAGTACGTGACCTTGATCTGGATGACTCATCTATGCACGCCATGCATACCCTCGATTTATGGGATTCACTTCTACACCTGTCTGCCCTGGGCTCTTCAGTAGGGCTTCTTTACTTGATTTCCCCTACCCGCCAATTGTGCGGCTCGCCAGTTCCCCAAGTCTGCAACATTACCATGCTGTTTCACCGGCCTCGGGCGCAAGTCTCATACTTGTATATACTACAGTACTGTTTCACCAGGTACTGTTGCATGTGCTGTCTGTAAACATGTTTAGTTTTGAACTCTTTCTCCATCCCATGCTACGTGCTTTTACTTGTACGGTGAGGCTAAACTGGAAGCTCTCGCAATACTTTGCGTCCATCAATAAGTCCAAACAATATACATTTTATAATAGTCCCCAATTGAGCTGACATTTTGGCTACATTCCTCTGAATATGACTGTTGTCTTCGCAATGCATATGGTGGCAACACTAAGCAAGCTATGTAACTATGCGATAGCACATGCAAGTGCATTCTCTATGTATTGGGAACAATGCGTTGGCTCAAGGCACATCTTTAGAATTATTATTATAGTATACATGTATGTGTTGGGACAGCAGAAAGGCAGTAGCGAACAGAGACTAGAATAATAGCAATGTTTACCTTGATCCATCTGTCCCACGTTGACAGGTCAACTTGTGCCAGCTGCCGCTCGCAGAGGATTGGTCGGACGTCCATACCGATCGTTGCAAAGTGCTGGCACCCGGTGCTCTGGCAGTGGGGCTGGGTGTGCAGCTGGCATGGCCTGTCGTGACGGCACAGGCACGCTATGCTGGGATGGAGGAGCAACAGGCGCTGGCCATACAGCTGCTGCAGCTCTCCGATGGCACCGAGAAGAAAGCGGGCAACAGACACACAGTGATCTATTGTCTTCTCCCTCTTGTCGGTGTCGACTGTGATGCGAATGGCGGTGGAAGAATAGGAGAGCTGAAGCTGAAACTCATTCTGGCATCTCATTGACACGTTGAGGCCCATGCGCAAATCCTTCGTCCCGTGCGGTCGGTACTTCTGCAAGCATCGCACGGTGATCCGGGCAAAATGCGCTTGGGTGATGCTCCTTTCTGGATCTTTGCCAACCAGGTAGAGCGACGCTGATTTGGACTCTAGCGCTTGTGACGGCTTACACTGGGCAAGTGCTGGCACATAATACACTTTACACCCTGTAACAAATGGATCATCCTCATCTGCATCATAGACTACGCCATGCGAAGCTAGCAGTGAAAAGAGACTCCGGCGCTGCTCCTGAGATTGCACCAGACCTCTTGTGGCCTTCTCCTGCTCCCATCTGTGAATCGCTAGTGACTCGCACAGAATGCCATCCTTCAGCAGCCTATACTGCTTCCTGAACCCACGAGCTTGCTTGAACAGCGACGGTGCTGGCAAAAGGACAGCCTTGGATGCCAACATCAGCCATGGAGTGCTGGCTAGAACTTGTTTCTGCTCTAGTGCTGCAGCTGCTACTCCTGCTGCGCTAGCTTGTGGCTGACGTCGGGACGTGAGTACGGCTTCATCTCTCTTGGCTGCCGCCGCTGCTTCAGGGGCTGCTGGCTGTGCTGCTGGTGCTTCTGCCTCCACTGGTGCTGCTTGTGCTGCTGTTGATGCGGTTGGCAGGCCGTCAGGTGGCACAGTGGCTGAAGTAGATGGGAAGTGGCTACCCTCATCATCAAAGACAATGAGATGGCCGAGTGATTGGTTCAGTCTCAACAGACTGGGCACATCCACGTCAGCATCACCGCATGCATCCTGAGCGATGCTGCATACCCTGTCATAGCTCATGATGAACGATGACGTCTCCTGTGCAATCGCCTCTAGTACCTCTGGGAATGGCAACCACGAGATTGGCAGCTTCTCTCTGCGACGGAATCGAATTACGCCCGCCAGCTCTTCACGCAACTTTGCAACTCCTGGGTCAACCTTTGAGCCAGACAGAGTGTTGTCAACGAAGATGACTCGCTCAATGCTGTCAGTGTACTTCTTGTTGTCAGCTAGTTGTTGGAGTTGTCTCCTTCGCTTGCGAACATCTTCTTCAGTCATGCCATCCAGGTGCGTACCAATGAGGTAGATCGGTGCAGTGGCGTTGTCTGTGATTGCTTCGCGGGCTGTACATAGCCATGAGTCGATGACATCAAAGTAGGTACAGGTGGGTTGGTCGATGTTGAGCTGATTGTCCTCGCCATCTTCATCAGTCAGGATATCCGCATACGGTGTACCCAGTTCGATGCTGGCATTGAAGACGACGCAGTACGTGGTGCGCTCGGGTGAGAACACCAGGTCATGCAATGCGTGGAATGGCATCTGCCCTGCCAAATCCCACACATCGATGTGTATGGTGTCCTCATCCAAACCACGAGCCTCATCCAGGCGCTTGAAAAACTTGCTCAAAGCTGTGCGAACTGCTCCAGCTGCCTGGTTAGGGTTAGCGCTTGCGCCGCTGACATTTCCTTGCCGAGAGTAATGAGCTTCAGTGCGCATAACTGTGTTGACAATTGAAGCAGCCAACTGGGCTAGATGGTCTGCCGCATTTGTTGGCTTCAATTTGTACGCACCTTCCTCACTCTCGTCCAAGAAGAACGTCAGCTTGTCCATGTCGATGCCTAGCGTGCTTGCGGTCTTTTTGAACTCCTTCTCTGCCAGAGACCTCGCCAGTCCCGTCTTTCCACCGCGACCAGGGCCCATGAGCAGCACACGCTCATGCACGATATCAGCGATGCAGCTTTTGAACACTCCCTCCCTGCTCTTGCGATCTACATCACACCAACAAAACGCAACACGTATCCAAATATCAGGCATTTGAGAGAGTTTTATCTTATGCACGCAGTGGAGAACCTTTTGTTTCATATCTATCGATCTGGTTGCACACAGATACCCTGGAAAACAGAGATAACGATTTGCAGAAAACCCACAACCGTTAAATTCCCTGGAAGTCCGATAATTTATATGAACATAACATCTAGTCGTGTGGCAATAATAAAATCTAGAAGCCAACTCACTGTGAATCCTATTCGTTATGTCGAACATGGAAGCAAATGTGGGCACAAGTTCTCCGGTCGATTCCACCAACTAAACCCAGATTTTTGAACAGTCAGACGAGGACCATCTAGCACTAAACTGACAAGGATCTCACAATATGTAAGGCCGTTGGTTAGCGCTATCAAGCAGTGCTCAAGCTGACTTTCACGCCAGGGAATGTAACATAACTTTCCAGTGCCCCTTGCACAGTAAAGAATCCAGTTGACATCACATCCAACAGTCGGCGTGGTCGACATGACAAATATAATTGTAATAAAAAAGGAGGAGGGCTGGAGGAATATTGACTTACGGTCTGAAGTTCATATCAGACACATTCATGTCCAAATGAGAAGATCATCCGACACAGCAATGGTGAGGTGAGAAACCAGTGAATCATTCCGGAGATACTTCAGGTACTTCTAACCTACTCAACATATGAACTGGTTAAACTCGTACTCTATGACTCCTTGTAAAGTGATCTGTGTATCCAGTGTATTCAGTATGCACACTGTGCAACTCATGCTTTGATATTCTACATGTCACATTTGAGAGCCTGCGTATATATAGTCTGCATGACATATTTACTAGCTATAAACAAGGAGAGGACTAGGAAACATTGACAGTGCTGTAGTTGACATCGACAACATCCATATCCAAACAAGGATATGAACCGACACGGCAATGGGGAGTTGACCGTCGAGTGAAACATTCCAGGTACAGCAAAAATTGAAAGCATTCACAAGCAACTCTGCTACAAAATTGTACAGAATGCGCCCGAATACTACGACAGGTTTGCCAATTGAAGCTTGAATTCTTTTCTTCTTCAGTAGGCAGCTGGCATTCCGCAGCCATATTCGACAGCTTGCAGTACGCGGAGCCCAGCGGCTCGGCTTCCTCCGCAAGGCATTGGCTGTGCTAGACCCAAAGCACCGGGCAATCGTGTACCTTGGCTTTGTCCGCCCTGTGTTAGAGTACGGCATGCTGGTGTGGATGAGCGCAGCCCCCACCACCTTGGCCCGCCTCACTGCCATCCAGCGCCGTGCCCTGCACATAATTGGAGGTGGATCATACCTCCTGAGCCTCGACATTCGCCGTACCGTAGCAGGGCTCTGCTTTCTGTACAAGCTGCACTTTGTGGAGGGTCCGGAAATGGTGAAAGCCATTCTGTCACCATCAGCAGCTGCACCGCAAAGCCGCATGTCTACTCGTGAGACAACCAGATCTGCAGCACATCATCCATCACAACTCACCAGTATCCTTCCTCGTCAGTCACGAAACAACACGCTCCGCTCATTTCCCCACTCCCTCATCGCAACGTGGAATCAGCTCCCACCTACCCTTCTGCAGTCGCCCCCTTCTCACAGAGGTATGCACACCTTCAAGAAAAATGTCAACGACCACTTGCGGCGCAGCAAGTGGGAGTGGGCCACAGACAGGCTATGATCTCTCCATCGCAGCCAACACACCAGCCAAATTATACTGACCGCACTCCAGCTCCCTTCTACCCCTCTTTGATCCCCTTCGCTCAGCCTATGCTATGCAATTATCAGTTCTCTCCATCTTCCTACGGTGCACTGCTTTTACTATTGTTTTGTCCTATCTCAATCTCAAATTCTCCCCATTATCGTTTGCATAGCCGGTGCTTCCCTCTTGGATGTATATGTTTCTTTTCTCCTATGTATCGGCGCACAGGAGTAATGATGATTCCGAGACCTTTGGTCGGAGGAGTTACTTTTGCCCCGCCCCCACTTCCATCCAATATGCCACCGCCCCCGCTGTGCAGCATTTGATGGTTCTGTGGTATTCAGTAAAAATAAAATAAATAAAAAAGTTCAAGGTCTTTCGGTGATGGCCACTCGGTGCTACCTTTTACTGGAGATCATGAAACTGCTTCTGCACATTTTATTGCAGTCTAGTAAGCGATGGTGTCGAAATTTCGCATGCATGCCTTGATGAAGTCACAAGAACTGGCCAATGTACCGTACTCGCGCGAATAGAGCCCTCTCTTGAATAGTGCCCCCCCCGGTCTTGTAACCAAGCTCATGTGCTAGTTTGGTGCTCTTTTGCTAATGTTCTTGGCCATTGCTTTGCACTGGTGTTTTCAGGAACAAAATCGCAGGTCTTGTTCCCGTTTCTGTGGAGTCGTGAGCGTTTACAGTACACTTTAGGCTCTGTTTTTCTTTGTTTTATGCTGGATGACCCAAATTATGCGGCCTTGATATTGATACAGCCGTCTCTAACTTCTCGTCTGTCCTCGAATCGTCTCTCTCAGTCTGCTCTTCTCACCGCGATCACCAGTCATCCACCAGAAACCGAACCCGCTCTTCACGCCAGGATCCACCATGGATGACACCAGTGCTCAGGGCAGGCATTAAGAGAAAGCATGACCTCTACAGCATCTATAAAACATACCTACCCCGTCAAATGCAACGCAGTACAAACGTCAGCGGAATATAGCAAAAACGTTATCACGTGTAGCCCATAAAGAATACGTCCAGTCCATTACTACTTCTCTCACCGACAGCCAGCGTCCATCACTTCACTCATTTATAAGAACTCTTCGTAAATCAGCATCGTCATTGGGCTCTATTCCAACAGCAATTACACGGTCCGACCAAAGTTCCGCCACTGCGCCTTTTGATATTGCGTATGCTCTGAATGAGCAGTTTACCAGCTTCTGCGTTATGGACAGACCTGAATGGTTAGTTCCTCCTATCCACCAAATACCTATAGAGTCAACGTTTACATCGCTGACGATTTCATCCCGTACTGTAACCAGATACATACGCAGTCTCCCCAATAAGAAGTCTCCTGGTTACGATGGTATACAGAACGAAATCCTGAAACACCTCCAAGACAGCCTAGCATATCCGTTATCGCTGCTCCTTAACATTTCTCTGTCGTCTGGAATCTTTCCCTCCGCTTGGAAATACGCATTAGTGGTCCCAATTTATAAGCGCAAATGCTGCCGGTCGGATGCAACGAACTACAGACCCATCTCTCCACTGTGCTGTATTTCAAAGCTGTTTGAGCGCATTGTGTACGATCAGCTATATTGACACTTGTCCCCGTACTTGCATACCATGCAGTCTGGTTTCCGGCGAGGGACTCCATAGCTTTGTACCTAGTCCACCTAATCCAGAACATCATGCAGTCCCGACATTTGAAAGAACATACTGGCATGTGCTTCTTTGACCTGGCGAAAGCCTTTGACACCGTTTGGCATAGAGGCCTGATTGCCAAGTTGGGTGCCTATGGCATTGGTGGCAACCTGCTTTGTTTCTTTGAAGGCTACTTAACTGGCAGGTCACAGGTGCCGACGCGTACAGCCTGAGGCTGTACGCGTCGGCAACACCCTCTCGTCTCTCCAGGCAATTAATTCTGGTGTGCCACAGGGGTCAATCCTGGGGCCAATATTCTTTTTAGTTTACGTCAATGATCTACCGATGTCTGTCCCTAATGTTTCACTGTTCGCCAATGACACCACATTTTCCGCTTCAAGTAGTTGCAGGCAATTGCTAGTTGATGACCTCCTGAAAAAGATAAACTCGACCATTTCTTGGATGTCGACTTGGAAGCTGAGACCGAACACTAGTAGAACCAAAGAGATGTTCTTGTGTAGCGGTGATAGTGATCAGTTCTGCAATGACATTGTGCCTTTATCATGTCCTGGCAGCTCATCGACCATAAAAATTGTCCATGAACATAAGCACCTTGGTATAATTATTGACGACTGTCTAACATGGGCTCCTCATGTAGACTATATTCGCAAGAAAACTAGTAGTGTTCTCGGCATGCTATATCCTCATCGTTCTCATCTGCCAAATACATGCCGTTCTATGTTTTATCGCTCGTATCTATTACCTATTTTCCAGTATGCATGTCAGTCCTGGTGTAGTCTAAGTCAGCATCTTGTGAACAAACTTGAAATCCAACATAAATCTCTTCTTAAAAATATTGTTTAATTCCCGTAGCTATGCAGAAGACGTTACTTCAGTAGCGTCTGGCGCAAGCCAGGGTCCACACAGCTTGTTGTAAACCACCAGTTCTCAATTGGGAAAGGCCTTCGCGCTTATGGCATTGTATTCATTGAAATGTTGTATTTCGACTCCGCCGTACCGCTGATGTTGCTGCATGGCATACGCTATATGCGTTGTGTGCATTTTGCTGTATACGCTGTTATGTCCAGTTTTATCTGCTTATGTTTTGCATGTACGCTGTTTTTTGCATGCTATAAATAGCTGGTGTTATTAGTGTTCATTGTTAATTATCAGATGAAGTGAAATATACTGTGTAAAGGAAAACAGTCGTCCTCGTGCCGTGTGGTCGTACGATCCTGACAATTTAGAGAATCTTAGAGGGTTCATAACATTTGGCGACCACGCCAGGATAGGAGCGAGCATGGCAGAGGAACTATGGAACAATTTGGAAGCCAGCTTTATCGACAATGGAGAGCGGTTAGGATTAGAAGGCGAGTTGTTGAAGGTACATGTGGAGCAGAGGCTCCAACAGTACGCGGAGCGTGAGGAGCGCAGTGCCAGACGGCGAGAGGAGGCGCTCCGCACCGAGTTTGCCAAAACACTAAAGGAGATTAACGAGCGCATCGCCAATGCGCAGGAGGGTGAGGGTAAAGCCACGATGGGAGGTACAGAGGAATCTCCCAGTCACAGCGGTGGGCGTCAACCGGTGATGAAAATCCCCTCATATGATGGAACGCAGCCATTGGAGCGTTATCTT